GGGATTTGTCAGAGGACTCCCTGAAGATTCTTCTAGGGAGAGTTGACTAGGGATACTAGATGATTTTATTGTGTATTTCTGAAAATAAAAAGGTAATTAATATGATATTAATCAAACGAGAATTGAAGTTTACAACCGAAAAAATAAAAAAATCATCTGAAATTCATCAACAATCAGAATATAAGCTATTGAATCGCTCATAATAGTCATCTCTGCCATGAATTTGCTCAACTTATAGATGTTGCACAACTGCTATGAATATAGGACAATGGGTGATAACGATATATCATATTAACTTCGCGAGATGTTTTAGTAAATTGATTTGTCCCGTCCCGCAGACGGCCAGGATTTCAGTCCCGTCCCGTCTCGCGATTTTCGCTAGATCTTGTCCCGTCCCGCCAGGTTCCGCGTTCCGCGGAGCTCTGGTAACTATGTTTCAACTGAAAATAAACCGAATAAAAGCTGAAAATTTAAAATATCATACAGTACATGAATAACCAATTAAACTGTATTGTTCGAATATTTCATCCAGGATGAAAACAAAACTGATAAACGTGATCAAATTTTTACATAACATCATCTATGTAAATAATAATTTGACACGTTTGCTTCAAATATTCTGTTCCAACTTGAAAGAAACAGTATAAAACCGTGGCAATCTCAAACACTATAAAGTATGTAAATAAAAATTCGACGCGTGCTCATCATATATTTCGTTTTGCTCGAAAATCAAATAGTAAGATTGGTAAAACTTTCCAACAAAAGATTGTATATGAATGGTGATCCGCCTTATGGTGTTCGTATTTTTCACATCAAGTAACATATAACGCATAGGCCTTTAAATATTTCAAACAACCTACAGTATATAACTCTTCATTCGGCGCGTCTTATTCGAATATTTCACTCACGCTTGAAATCAACTAATGCGAGATTTTAAAGTTTCAAACAACATACGGTGTCCGAATGATCTTTCGACCTGTATTGTTCAGATATTCTATTTTAAGTCAAAATTGAAAAATGAAATTCAGAAAATATCAAACAACAAATATTATACGAATAATCATTCGACATGTGTCGTTTAGATATTTCATTTCAACGTAAAACAAACTACTAGCATTGATGTCAGCTCCAATGACCGATAATACATGAAGATTCTACCTGCTCGTCATGTTCAAATATTTTAATCGAAACAAATGAAAAAGAAGGGAGAAATGCTAATTTCTCATAACCTCTCGTACATAAATAATCAATCCGCTTGTATTATTTGACTATTTCATTAACATTTCAGGTAGAATAATTGAACAGGTAAAACATTCGAATCCCATACGGTATGTACATAAATACTCAACTTGTATTTTACAGATATTGCATTTACCATGAAAAGCAACTAATAGCATTCCTAGAAATTTCCAACAACATACAGTAAATAAATGATCGCTCAACGCTTATTATTCAAGTATTCGTTTCTCACTGAAAATAAACTAAGATAACTAGTGCAATTTCAAGCAACGTAGAGCATTTAGATAACTGTTCTCCTGGCGTTGCTCATGTATTTCATTTCATCTTAAATTAGATTAACCAACGATGTCAAATTTAAAGCAAGAAGTAGTATACGAACGGTCAATCCGCTGGGCATGTTCAGAAATTCGAACCCGAGTAAAAATACAATTTAGAAAAAAGTGAAAATCTCGAACAATACAAAATATATAAATCATCTGTCCGCAGGTGTTATTCTTATCTTTCAAGTCAACTTTTAATTGACTAATCAATATCGTCGTATTCGTGCCAACATAGAATATACGAATGATCAGGCCGCTCTTCAAGTTAGAATATCTCAATCAGTGTGAAAGCATAATGAAAGAAAGGGTGAACAGTTCAAAATAAATTAAGTTTCTGAATGATCACTCTCCGTGTATTGTTTACGTATGTTGTTGCAATTTGTAAGATATTAATTAAAATCATAACATTTGAAACAGCATGAAGTATATAAATAGTCGATCCGCGCGTCATGTTCAGGTATCCGAGACAAAGCCAAAGTTAAATGAAATAAAACGTAGAATTTTCGAAGACCATCAATTATCTAGATGGTCATGCGGCACGTTTCATTCGACTATTCCAATAAAACAGACTTCAAACACAAAACTATTTTAAAACAAAGAAAAACATACCGTATACAAACCATTACTCGACTTGTATTGTTCACGTATATCATTTCAACTGAAAATAAAGAAATAAGACATCTGCATTCCTAAATAATATACAATATATGAATAGTTATTCGTCTCATATTATTCGGATTCTTGATTCCAACTCGAATTAAAATAATTCAAATCACATAAATTCAAAACACTATGCATTATAGAAATACTAATTCAACCTGTATTTTCCAGATATTTCGGGTGGTCTCAAACTAAGTTAATCATTTTGACGATTATTTTCAACACTCAAGGGTAGATGAATAATTATTCGACATGTCTTATTCATATATTTCATTTAAAATCAAAATGAAATCATGAAAATTGTACAAATTAAAAAATCATACTTTTTTAATACTATCACTCGACATGTATTGGCCCTTTATTACATTTCAATCCGAAGTAAAGCAATCATACTCTTGCAGTAGGAAAATAGTGTAGTAGTTAGATAATTTTTCCGCGCATATTATTCCAATATTTTATTTAAGCGTCGCACAGATTGATTAAACTCGTAAAAATCTTCAGTGACACGTAGCATAGGAAAGATCTATCAACGCTCACCCTTTAGATATTTGATTTCGACTGAAAATAAAATGATGCAAGCGGTGAAAATTTAAACAACATTGGATTAACAAATAATCTCTCGACGCGTGTTGATCAATTATTTCAGTCCAACTTGACATCACCTAATCAAATTCTTAGAATCGTAAAAGAAATAAAGTACATAAATGATCATACGGCGTGCCATATTCGGAAATGTCATTTCAATTCGGAATAAATAAATTAAAACCGCTAAAATTTGTCACTGCATAGAGTATATAAATATAGATTCAGCGTGTGTTTCTCGGATATTGCGTGTTAATTAAAAGTTAATAAACTACACTACTAACAACTTCAAACAACCGAGAGTAAATAAATGATCACTCGGCTTGCGTTGTTCAGTTGGGTTAATGTCAACTTGAAATAGATTCGCTTAAAGTCGTGTGATATCAAACAAGATAGAGTATATGAACGATCACTCTCCGAGAATTATTCAGCTATTTCATTTCAGCTCACAATCAACCAGCCAAACTCGGAAAATTCAAACATCTCACAGCATACAACTGGTCATACGGCGTGTCTTCGAATATTTCACTATAATTCCAAAGAAACTAATCAATTCTGTACAAACATAAGACNGCATACAATATGCAAATGGTCATTCAACCTATGCTGTCTTTATATTATATTTCTGTTAGAAAATACACTGATAAAAATCTTCGAATTCCAAAAGACAAATACTATGTGAATGGTTAATCTTCCCCAGCTGTTCAGATATATTAATGGAAGTCAAATTGATGTGAAGACTTAAGATGAAACTTTAGGGAAAGAACAGTATGCGAATGATTCTTCGACATGTGTTGTTCGGACGTTTCATTTCAACCGAAAATAAATCAATTTAATTCTCGAAATCTCTAGTAGCACATAGTATATGATTCGCCGATCAGCTAGCGATGTTCAGGTATTCCAATGAAGTCAAAACTACGGTGAGAAGAAAGTATAAGTTTTCAGCGACATGCAAGATAGAAATGATCACCCAGCTTGAGTGGTCCGAGTGTTTCATTTCAGTTAATAGCAAACTGATCAACGTTGAGACCCATTGAAACAACAGATGGTATATAAACTATCATACGGCCTATCTTTTTCGACTATTTCATTTCAAATTATAGTGAAGTAAATAAACTCGCTTAAGCACGAGATCACACGAAGTATTGGAATAACGATCCAACATGTATTCTTCAAATATTCCGTGTCGACTGAAAATTAACTAATAGAAAACATAACTATTTCGAACAACATCTGGTAGAAAGATGATTAGACGCCATATGATGTTCACGTTTGTCATTTCGAATCGAATTCACCGACAAAGATCGTGAATGTCTAAAACCACATAAGGTATGCGAATACTAATCCGACGTATGTTGCTCGAATATTTGACTTCAACTCAAAATAAAGTAATGAAACACGTAGAATTCCTAACAACATACAGCATATGAATGATCGATCCGCACTGATGTTCGCAGATTTAAACCGAAGTCAAACCGAAGTGAAGAGATTATGAAAAATTAAAATAGCATGCAGTATACAAATGATTATGCTTCCTGAGTTGTTCGCGTATTTCATTTCAATTACTGATAAAAAAAAATGAATTTGATCAAAGTTTGAAACAACAGAGTATATGAATGATCATTCCGCATGCTTCATTCAAGTATTTAATTCGAACTTGAAATCACGCAGTTCAACGCGGCAAGTTTGAAATGATGTGGGATACATAGATAAACATTCACCCTATGTTCTTCGGATATTTCATTGCGCCAGAAAATCAACTAATGGTAGTTGCAAAAATTAGGCACGACATATGGTGCTTAGATGATCTTTCGGCATGCGCTGTTCGAGTATTGCATTTTGACTTAAAATAAAATAAAGCACATCGTGAAAGTTCGAAACAACGTGCAATATATACATGATCATTCGGCCTGCGTTGTTCAGGTGTCCACGTTTCCACTGAACGAGTGGTCATGAAATACTTGATATCCCTGCTATCATAAGCCATATGAATGAACGATCGGCTTATGCTGTTCTGATGTTTTGATCTAAGTGAAAATAATGTCAAATAAAATGGGAAAGCTTCGCAGAACATACATTATATCAATCACGCCTCTCCTCGTCTTGTTCGGGTATCACAATCAAATTATAATAAGCTAAGCAGCATGTAACATTTCAAAACAGCATGCAGTCAATAAATAAAGATTCAACGTGTTTTCTTCATATATTGCGTTTCGACTGAAAATTAACTGATGATACTCGTCGCATAACCAAACTACATTTAGTAGAGAAATAATCAGTCGATGTATGTTCACGTTGTTCGCCAGAGAAAGAGGCTCTAATGATAGTGTTCCAATCAATATCTTTGATCTGAATAAAAACAGAATCTGTCTTGATTTCTGATGGCCGATTGAAAGCAGTTTGCACATTTTTCAATTGTTTCTTCCAATTATTAATATCAGTGTCTACAAAACTTTCAGACTCTTTATGCTCTTGTGCTTCATTTCCGATTGTTTCAACCAATTGCTTCAATTTGTTATTTTCCTGTCTTCTACTAAAGAAATGCTCAATATTTGCACGTGCTTCGTTTGCTCTTTGTGAAACACGCTCAATTGTGCTTCTTTCCCATTCGTCGATTTGTTTTAAGAAAGGAATAGCATTAATATAGTCTGGCGATGTTGATGGGTCATCGATTCTACGTTGCAGTGATTGTTGAAGATCATTATGAAAATTAAAGACAGAATCCAAATCTGTAGAAAGCTTATGACGGTGGTCATTGAAATGCTTATTACACATATGTCTTAAACAGCCGTCACATTTCGTAATGGAAACAGTTTGTTTCGGAGAGCATAGATCACACATATACTTTCTTGTAGCGCTTGAACTACGAGTAGTCATCATCAAGTTTGCGTGATTTTAATTTGAGTAAATATTTGAAATAGGATGATATTTTTATTTGTCCGATTGCTAAAACAAACATTCATTGCAAATTTGAATTGAATGACAATGTCAAAGTTTTACTAGTAAACACTTTTCTATGAAGAATGGCTGGCAGTAACTAAGAAAGTCTTCATCTCATATGATTATAGCTGCCAAAATTGATAGTTATCTGAACATTTGTACTTGCATGAGATAAAAAGCTGCGCTTAATTACATACGTGAAACAAGAAATATAATAAACGGTAATGACGAGAATCTATCTTTTTCTTGAACTACATCATTTTGATGAGGAATGCTTTTGGCGATGAGCTGATCCTTCATTATGCGATGCTGTATTTCAGCAGCGTGTGCTTTTAGTTTCATTAGTGTTTATCAAACATTTCTAGAATTGTAAATAAATGACTGAAGATAAGAATGTAAAAGAAAACGATCTAATACTTTGTGGAGAGAAAAACTTAGTAGTAGTTCAATGGATCGTATTTTAACTTTTACAGACGGTTCGTTCGTAGCAAAAATTTGCTCATTAGAAGTACGTATTAGAAAATATGGGTGTTAATGGAAAGAACACGTGAGCAGCGCACCCACACCCACTTCTATGCCTCGGACTGGTTCAATTCTATCCAGAGATGAGCACAGGACAGGGTGGTCCTGGCGTCCTGTCCTGTCCTGTCCAGCCGCCCGCCAGGACAGAAAAGTTAGCGCGACAAAAACAGGACAGGATGAAGTTTCGATTTTCGTTCTGTCATGCCGCCAGCCAGGACCGAGAGGTTAGCAGGACATGACAAGGCAGAAAATCTTGTCCTGTGCTCTTAACAATCGAGTAGTTATTAAGTATTGAAAAACAAATTTAGATTTAAAAACTGCTATCCCAAATAAATATTTTATTGTAGCTACACATGTCTATGTAGAATTTATTTTTCAATTTCGATCCAACATGGAATCAAGAGCATATTGTAACTATCATGCAGTTATTAAACTTAAGGCAACATGAGATTCAAGTAGAATTCTAAATTAATAGAGATATGGTGAAACTTACTTGATTCTGATATTCTACTCTAGATTGCGTTTTTCGCAGCGACAGCAATTGTTTTGAATAGAATACTTTTGTTTTGAATGAGAAACAGCTTCGTATTGTAGGAATTCAGCATGCAAAATGACGTATGGCCACTTAAGAACAGTAAACATAGCAGCACCTCATTTTTTCTGCCTCTGGTTATTGTTTACATGCTTACTGCAAACTTTTTTCTCTACGCATGGACACGTCTGAAGGAGCGCAACGAATTGAGAGAACATGTAGAAACACTTAGAGTCACATGAAAGCATACAATGGCGAATGGCTTTAGAGCAAAAATGTAAAGGTAAATATAGAATGAATACTTTGAAAATTAAATTCTGCGTCCTTACTTCCCAGTCAGAACAGAAGAGATTTTTATACTGGAAAAAACGTAAAATATGCGCTTTTTATGCTAACAAATTGTGCAAAACGATTTCTAATTTTGTAAAAGCTAACACCATGGAGCTCATTGACCTCGGATTCGCTACTTCAGCGTAGAAACGTTTATTTTTCAAACAAAAAAACTGCACATTCTTACTGGTTCAACACGTTTTTTGTATAGATTATGCCAGCTCACCAGAGCACGCTGATTGGGGTGGTATATACCAGAGCTGTCAATCTGATTTAATGCCCTACATGTCCCTGTCAAGTCGAGTATTATAAGATATTAACCGAGCCTATCCCTTCGCAGATTAGATTAAGCTGAGTCTTGAGTGTGTTTGTGTTTTTGTTCTATTTCACAGTGCACACGCCCACATCCTCTACTGAATAATTGTTACTTTTTTGTAATTTAAAATGTCCAAAAGATTCCTAGGATCAAAAATAGCAATTGCATAGATCTGTAGTGCTATTTAAATCATAAATACAAGGGTAGACTTGCAGATTTCTTACTCAGAATAAATTAATGAGTATGAAAATTTCTTGAACAAAATACGTGTCACGTGTAGGTTATCAAATTTGTAAGCCCCGATTTCGGTTGCATCGGAACTACTTTGCATGTGCTCATTGAGAAATAAATGTTCCTAAAAATGGAGCCTGTGTAGAAATAATATCGCAAATGATCAATTATTTCTCAACAAGCCCACCAATCTTCAAGAGCCCACGACCAAAATGTTTTGCTCGATGGTTCCATTCGATAGACAGAAATTGTAAGTCTAACGTAACCGCTTAGAAACTTAACAATCTACAATGATGAGTGGTACCGATGTATCAGGACGATATGCTGATTCATGTAAGAGGATTCTCATTTAATGTATTGCAATCAATTCTCTCAGTATTGATTCCATTGATCATATTTGTATTAGTTTGACTCAATGAAATTTCTGTACTTCAAAATATTTTGTAAAGTATTACTTATTATAATTAAACTTTTCTAAATTACCTAAACACAAAACATTGAAATGAAGTGCAATAAGAAAATTTTAATGTTTGCCTTTTTATCATATATATTTTTTTCTCTAGTTAAACATTTTATTTCATTTATAGTAAGAAAAGAATAAATTTGCATTAATATAAAGTACAATAGTCATTAAGATATATTTCTTGTCAGAAGCGCGAAAAGAAAAAAAATAAAGATTTCATTTTCGATGAAATAAATTCTTGAAACGAGAAGCTTTTGGTGTCTAAAGAATTGAAAGAAGATAATTTAACTATGTAATCTAAACGAAATTCCTACTTCTGATCCTTTTTGATTTTCATTATTAATTCTTTGTCGTGTTGCTGAATTTGTTCCTTCTTGTTCATCATTCATAACGGCACCTTTACGAATAAAACTTGCTGAGAAATCATCCGGATCATGATCCATTGTTTCTAGTGCATATGCTGTACGTAAATGTTTCGGTTGACTAAGATTTCGACGTTGTAATTCTGTTATTCGTCGCGTATAATCAACAGGACCCAAATCAAGATTAATAGGCTCATCTTCATTTTCAATTTCTATGATAGAAAAATCTCTTTTTTTAATATGAAAATGACTTTAGATATTATTTACCATATTTTGTGATATGATCAATTGAACGGCCATTTCTAAAAGATAAAAATAAAATAAAATAAAGGCATTGCACTTTCTTTTGCGAAAGTTTTCTTTTGTATTACAAAGGAAAATTATTGAAAGATTGATTTTTATGTAAAAGTAATGCTAAATCATCATGATCTAATGATCGTGTATCATCCATTTTTTCATCTAAAAATATATATAATATGATCCATTTAGAAAAAAAGAAATTTTACTTGTACGACGCATAATACGCATATCAAGACTCGGTGAACGAACAAGACGCGAAACAGATTTATTATTATTTTCAATTGATTGTAAAATAGGATTTGATGCTGTCGGCGGATGATGGTGAACTGTTGTACTTGTTGTTATTACTGGTTGTTGTTGTTGTTGTTGCTGTTGCTGTTGCTGTTTCTTAACTTGTCGTAAATTTCTATCAGCAAATTCAAGTTGAGCAATTAACGGCAAACGTTCACTTTCCAAATGATGACAACGAGTTTTAAGAAGTGAACATTGCTTTTGTAATTCTTCATAATCTGACACGGTTTTCGAATAAACAGATTTTATTTCGTTTAATTCTTGTTCAGTCTAAGTAATAGAAAGCAAAATTCAATTCTTTTTCGAGCGAATATATGGTGTGTATTCTTAGAAATCGATATGCACCCTATTTTTTCAGTGTATTATCGACGAAGGCTCATATCAATGAAAGAATTCGATTTTCTTTTACCTTTCTGTGTACAACTTTCGATTTTTCATAATGTTCACGTAAATCTTCACCATATTTTTCAAGTTCTTTAATATCTTGACTATACAATCGTGCAGCTTTTTTCAACTAAAGAAAAACTGTTTAGAAAAATTTTGTATATGTATGAATATCAACACTTGCATTTTCGACTTCTTCAATTTTATCTTTCAACGCTTGTTCTGCTTTCGAAACTTTCATTTGTGCATCGGTATATTCGGTTTGTGAACGTACTTTTTCTTGAAGAATATTTTCATGCATTTCGCGTACTTGTTGAACTTGTAGTTTAAGTTGAGTCTCACGTTCTTCTTGTTCATTTAGTTTACTTTCATACATTGAACATGTATTCGTTAATTTATCGTATTGCATTTGTAAATCAATTAAACGTGATTGACTATTATCGCGATCGAGTTTAACATGATCGATTTCAACTTTGAGCGAATCAATTTTTGTTAAAAGACTTATAAGTTCAGCCGATTTCAATGAAACTTGCTCATTGAGCAAACCAAGTTGATGTCGTAAATCAAAAGATTTAACAATTTCAGAATTAAGTTCACCGCTTTGCCCGTGGAGTTTACTTTTCAAAGAGGCGATTTCACTTCGGAGAAGATAACATTCATCGGTCTACAAAAGAAATGCAAAACTCAATACTGTCCATCAAGATAAACAAGAAATTATAGTATTCAACAAATTCTTACAATTTTGGCGTTTTCTCGTTTGAATTCTTCGACCAGTTTCGTTGATGCAGCCAATTTATTTTCATATGTTTCAATTTGTGCATTGAGTTCATTTCGAACTAAACACAGAAAAACCTAATAATACGTATGAGCAGATTTAATTCAGTGTCTCTTCTACTATTAAGATGCGGGAATAGTCAGACTAGTTGTTCTTGAGGGTGAAGATAACGTACGTGAAATTTGTTCTTCGGCATATTCATGTTTTTGTTTATATAATTCTTGGCATTCATTTCTAAGTTGTTCCATTTGTTCTTCAAGTTGTTTATTTGTTTGTTTAAATGCTTCAATTTCAGTATCGGCTTCACGTCGATCATAAAATGACATTTTAAGTGCGTGTAATTCTTCTTCTAATGCTCGTTTTTCCGCGACAATCAATGGTGTGTCGATCGTTGTCATTGGTTCTAAGATTCAATTTAGAAAATGTATTATTATTATTATTCTCTCACATAGAACATGTTTTACCATCAAGTTTTTTCTGTAATTCTTCTTTATCATCTTGTAAATGACGAATTTGTCTTAGCAACTCTGATTCACGTTGTTCTTTGAAGATTTTCATTTGTTGGTTTTCTATTTCTAACATTTTAACACGTTCATTGGCTGATGACAACAGTAAAATATCAGCATTTTGATTGATGATTTTTTTACTATACTCTTCGCATTGTTGTTTAGTTTCACGAAGCTAAAGAGAAAACAATTAGTTCATCCTATTTCGCTTAAAAATCATATTTGATATAACAAACTTTTCTTTCAAGTGTGCCAATTTTGTCATGCATTTCATCGTTTTTCTTTTGATATTGTTGTAGACGTTGTTGTAGATCGAGAGCATTTTCTTTCGCTCCTTGAAGTCTATCATATTCAAAAGTGTGAATTCATTTAAAAAAAGAAGAAATTCTCATTGTTCTACCGTTTATTTTCGACTTCAAAGCGATGTACATCTTCACGAAGTCTATTACGTTCATCTTTAATTATATCGTAATCGGTTTGCCGAAGAACTTTTTCGGATAATTCACGATTTTTATCCTCTTGAAATTTTAGAAAAAATAAAATAAAATTTCTCATTCAAGATAATATTTACTTAATTCATGGTAACTTTTTTCAAGACCACCATATTTATGTTGAAGATCATCCAGTTCATATTGAACTTTGAATAAATCTTCTTGCAGAACACGTGCTTGTTGAGTAGCAGCGGCAGCAGCTTGAGATTGCTGAAAGAAATATGAGATATGTATCGAATAATTAATAGAACAACAATCTCTTACTCCAGGTGAACGAGTAAAACTTCGATCGAGCATTGATGAACGACTTGCATTATTTAATGAATCATTTAAATCTAAATAAATCGGTTCGATAGTAATAATTCTAATGCATAAACCTACTACAAATCTGTGTATTACGACGTTTTCTTATAACGGGTGTTGTTTGTTTTGGTTGTGCACCTCCGGAATCTACAGAAAACATAAACGATAGGCGGGATGAGAATAAGAAAAATGTTTTACCGTCTTTCAAACAAGCATCAACATTCAATTGATACGGATTATTTTGTGTTCCTTCGATCATATGTAAATCGAATAGGGCAGCTAATTGTTCATGTTGAGCTTCATCGGTATCGAGTGATTTCGAATAGAAATAAGTATCAGCATGGGCAGCAAATACAACGAGTAATGCCATCTGAATTTCGAAAAAAAATGATGCACACTTCAGAACAAGAATAGTTTTTGTTTTCTTACTTTCGAAAGTAGAACATCATTTCCTTGTATCAATTCATTAATATTCCATTCAATGATTGAAGATGTTGATTGTTCTATTGGAAAAATCAAGAAGATGCGGACGAAAACAAGTTCTAGTCGACATACTTGAAAGGTAGTCGAGGATGAATTTGAATTTATTTTGAACATTCTCGCTCGATGGTGGAGTATTGATACGTGTTTCAGCAAATTTTTGTGCTTCACTAAATAGAACGATAGTACTATAAACTAAGAGAAAACAGGGTTTTTTTCCATACATTTGAGATATAATATTGAGAAAATGTTCAGACGTTCGAAATTCTTCAACCGATTTCACTGGTTCGAGGGGTGCAGTCAGAAGAGAATTGACCTAAATCATTTTAAAAGACCTTGTTTAGCAATAATTTTGTTTCAATTGATCACTTACACCAAATAAAATAAGTTTCTCATTCACCATATTTTTGCAGACTAATGAAATGTAAAGAACGATGACGAAGAAGAAAGGCAAACGGATTGATTCATTTATTTCACATTTTCCCACACAAAGAACATCGGTAACCAATGAAACGATTTTGTCAGAAATTAATTTAAATCTAATTATAAAATCAGTTTTATCATATTTGAATTTTCAATTTTTCAAAATCTTTCCATTGCAAAAATCATCGTATAGATGGCGCCACACCGAATATTCTGTTAATAGCAAAACATTTCATCGTTTTTTGTGCACAGTGGATCAATTCTCAACCTTAGACAATGAGTTTACGACGTCAACCATCTCGAGCAACAACAAAACCTTCGTTGACACCTTCTATTTTCACCAATCCAACGATTGATTTATTTCTACAACAATTTTCTCAATTTGTTCGTCGTCATATAATCGAAAATAAAAGTGAAACTGTTCTCGTTGCTGGTCCACCATCTTGTGGCAAAACAAAATTACTCGAACATATTTTCACAAAACTTCACATTGAAGATCCTTCGCTTACTGAACGCATACTTATCTTTCGTCTCAATGGTTTAATTCATTCAATCGAAACATCAGCTATACAAGAAATTGCATCTCAACATAATATTCAACGAAAAACTACAAATGATTATCAAAGTGATAATCTTCAAATTCTACTTGAAACCATCGCAAATGAGAAAATTGATAAAAGAATTTATTTTATTTTTGTACTCGATCATTTCGAACATTTTACATATCAAAAGTTAAATTCTATTCTTTATACATTATTCGATGCTGTTTATTCAGATAAAAAAAGTTATTCAATATTAACAATCGCTGTATCAAATCGTTCGGATTGTCTTGAACTACCAGAAAAACGTTTAAAATCACGTTTTTCACAAATCTACTATATTTTATCATCGCCACCGATTGAAGAATATACAAAATATATACTTCAATCCTACAAAGTAAAAAGAGATGTTCAAATACCAAACGATTTCTTTAGTTCATTAACAAATGTTGAACAGAAAATAATTCATTATTTACGAGATCCAACTGCTAATATGAATGAAGATACTCGGCCAGATCAACAATTAGATGGTTGTTTAACCCATTTAGAACTATTATTACTTCTTATGTCAAATAATGTTATTAAACGTATAGAGGAAAAATTACAAAATAAAATTAGTGGTGCAAATGAGAGTGATGACGATGACAATGACGATGAAGAAAATCGTTCTGGTATTATGACTGACATAAAATTTACTTTTGATCAAGTTTATCATGAATATGCGAAATATGTATTAAAAAATCATAAATACTTTTATGATAAAGCAGTTGTTCGAAAGGTAAAATTTATAAAAAAAAGTGATTCTGATTTTTTTGCAAAAATTATTATTTTAGACATTTCTTCGATTAATTGAACGAGGTTTTATACGACGTTATTTTGGTCGATATGCTCCGGTGGATGAACCATTAAGCGGTGAACATACCATGGTGATGGTGATTAATAGTGATGAATTAAAACAATATGTTGAATCAAAACCTTTACCTGCAGAAATAAAACGTTATGCAAAATCGAATACAATTATTTAATCGTTCATTTATCTTTTTTTCTGTATATTAGGAAATATAATTTGAATAAATCAATTTGCTCTATGAATAGTTCATCAGATAAAAATGTTTTTTGTTCATGTAATCAATAGCTGTGTGCGTATGAAGAGGTTCAGAAGAATCGTGAGGGTGTGGATGTGGTTTGCTCTGTACTATTTTTATGAGCGGATTTTAATAATAGTGAAAGATATTGCGTCTTTTTGTTGGTTTTCTCATATTAGCTATGCAATATATTCAATGTTTTGTAGCGAAAAACCTTTGAAACAGTGTATAAGTCAATGAATAGAAACCCAGTAGAAAATGCAATGGTACCAGCATGTTAACATTATAGGTAGTTCAGGAAACACTATTTTGCCATTTAAACTAGAATACGTATATTGATCGTAAAAACGTCTCCTGAACTACCTCACCTCAGATAAGATCGACTAGTTTGCAAAAAAAAAAATTCTGATTTTATTCTGTTCTTTTGTCGCTACGATTTGTACTTCTTTCTTCTTCTCTCGCTCGACTCTCGTTATATAAAGAATGAACGAGAAGGAAGTAGTCACCCGTTTTGAGAATAAAATAAAGAGTCGATACACACATCCTCGCAGCAGCTTGAGAAAAGAATCGCGCGTTGAATGAATCCACGGGCTGCATTTTAAACAAATATATTTCAACGGAGTATAGCAAGTTGCTTCTTTGTCAGTGAAAGTAGGTTGAAGTAAAATATTCACGTGCGCTACTACTTCACAAAGCTGCACATACTGTCAAGTTTATAATGGATTCGTGTGCTACGGTGAGCAATAAACATGAAGTAATGTTTTCTACTATTCATGATCGTTTACAAGTCCAGTTTGGGTCTGCAGTACCAACAACCTGCTTTCGAGATAACTTAAAACGCGACAATGTAGAAAATTTTATCGTGATTGGGCTTTTCGAGATGGAAAATGACCATGCAGTACAATTAAAGAGTCAGTTACAAAATAGTTTCAATGTAACTCGCTTATTTTCGGATGCCGATTCAGCTGTCGTTTTCATGAAGACTATACTGCAAGAAAATATTTTTTTTATTATCTCTGTCAGTTTATTGGATCCTATAGTAATACCCTCTGTTCAACATCTGTCTCAACTCTATGCGATTTACGTAATTTGCGACGAAAAAGAAAAACATGACTTACATTGGTTGAAAAACTATAGCAAAGTGAAAGGTGTTTTCAGTGATATTTCTTCTGTTTGCGAAAGTATCATAGTATACAAACGAGAAGTTGAACATTCTTTGATCGGACTAGATATCTTTGGGCAATATGGGTCTATGTCGTTGGAAACAAATAACAAACAAGATGGTAATTTTATGTGCTCTCAACTTTTCAAAGAACTAATACTGCAAACTGAAGATCAATGTAGAGAAGATATAGCTATGTTCGCACGCAAATATTACACTGATAATCCACAGCAACTTGCTTACATTTCAGAGTTTGAAAATACTTACGATCCGTCGGAAGCCATAACATGGTATACGCGTAATACATTCCTCTACAGAATGGTGAATAAAGCGCTTCGAACTCAGGATCATTTGGTAGTGTACGCTTTTCGTCTTTTTATCCGTAATCTTCACATGAAACTCAATCTTCTCCAAGCCGAGAATAAATCGATAAATAACAAACTTGTGCTCTATCGTGGACAATCTCTAACAAGAGACGATTTTGAGAAGCTGAAATCGAACATTGGTGGTCTCCTTTCTGTGAACACTTTTCTCTCGACGAGCGAAAAAAAAGACATTGCTCTTCTATTTACCGGTGGAACAATCGAGGATTCAGATACAGAAGGAATTCTCTTTGAAATCGATATCAGTACAAATGAGGTATCAAGTGCGCCATACGCAAATGTTGATCAGTTTAGTGCATTTCAAGGAACCGAGAAAGAATATCTCTTTTCGATGGGCACGGTCTTTCGAATTAAATCAATAGACAAAATTAGCGGTAGTGCAGTTTGGAACGTTCGACTCAGCCTAACGAATCATACGGATGCGCAAGTGGAAAACTTGAATCTGTATATGAGACAAGGATTACAACAGTGTAAGACGGTATTATCAAAGTTTACGAACCTCATGCAGCAAATGAATTTTCCAGAAAAGGCATCGCATTTTTATATGAAAAATTCCGATATAGAGAAGAACCCGATTATAGAAGATATCACATTGAAATATCTCATCGGAGACCTCTGTCTTCATGCGAATAATTATGAAGGTGCACTCAATTATTATCAAAAAGTTCTCGAGGATATGAACGAAAATATGCAAGAAAAACCTATGTTTGTCTGCAATCTCTACAATAGAATTGGAAACACTTACGTAAAACTAGGAAACCTCGATCTTGCTCACGAGTTTCATCAACGCGCATTTGACTTAGCGCTGTCTCTTCCTGAAATAAATCAATGTCAAATAGCCGCTCACTACATCTATCAAGGTGACATCGTGATGGAACAGAACAATATGGATGCAGCGATCATCTTTTATCAGAAGGGGCTAGCTCTTCTAATAGCTCATCTTCCTTCGACGCATTCTAGCATTGCTCATACATACAGCCGTATCGCTCATGTCTACAGACAACAAGAAAAGATACAGGAGGCATTGGAAATGTTTGAGAAAAGTCTTTCTGTTCTTGTCGATTCTTCAGCTGCAAACCATCCGTCTATCTCTGCGACTCATCGTCATATTTCAACGTTACTGTGGATCCTCGCTCGTGATGAAGAAGCACTACATCATGGACTACAAGCTTTGCAGATCGGTGCTAACACGCTACACGTGGATGATCCACAGATGAAAAGACGTCAAGATTGGGTGGATTTTCTGCGTCGCGATATACATGATCATAAGTGTAGACTTGAAGAAAACTCTCACGACTGGGACCAGCTGTTAGCTCTGATTAAAGGGGATGTTAATACTTCGAGCTGAACTTTATTATGTTAAATATATTAAATGAGCTTACATCAAATAATTGATTATGTAGCTGGTTCAAACAAGTATTTGTTTGATCAGAATATATTTATTCAAGTCGTTGAAGATGAACGACGTAATAGAAGTTGCAAAGAAAGCAAAAAGAGATGGAATGACGACGTTGTGCCGATATTGATGGCACGCTTCGATGATTCTCCTTCCTTCTCTTTCTGTTCTCTTTCCATTGTTCTAATGTATCTCTCTCCTGTCTCTCTTCTATCTCTCTCCTATATATACGTGNTGTCAGATGACACAATACACCATCATGCCGACGGGCATAGGCGACACTCTCTAGTTTTGTCGTTACACTCTGGATAACTTGAAGTAGCCTAATAAACATCTTTGCCGAGAGTGGCACAAGCTACTCTAATCTAGTTGTTCGTTACAGACGTTAGAAAAACGAACGATATATATATTGGAAAATCAATCACGTGAGTTGATTGACCAATATGACGTAACAGAACAAGAACAATCAGATTAAAGGAGATATAGAGTTAGAAGTTTAGCGTCTGTTAACGACATCTGCAGACGCTAACACCAGCTAACTCAGTTTGACATGTAAACGCGAAAGGACACTGTTTTATTAATCAAACACCCACATTCTCAAGATAGTGTTAACAAACTTCACTGTCTATTAGAAATCGTTAATACAAAATATATTCTTAAGAATGTATCTATCGAAAATTTTTATTATTTGAAATATCTAAATTATAAAAAAAATTCACAATGAGTTATTGAATCTAATTAATTTCATTAAGTTTAGTTAATTTTTTTGAATGAAATCTCAAAATTTACTGACTTTCTTTCCTTCGATCAAACTTTCAAGTAACTAGAGCAACTTAATTCCATTCACTGATATCAAGCTATTTTCATGCCATCGACCATTGAACAACATTGTCTCACAAAATGAAATGAATTGAACGATCAAACCGGTTAGTTTCTAAATTAATCAGGAATCTTATTATGCCCTGGAATTATATAGCAATGCGTAGATTATAGGTAGTATCCATTGTTCTTAGAAAAATCAAAATTAGACATTCATTGCTGAAAAAAATCCCTCTTTTTTTGCTATTTACACAATAAGGTATACGGGATTCGTCAATATTTACTGTAGATCAACATGATACTTTCTTCTCGATATACTATTCTTTCATTCTTTATTTCTTTGGCACGTCTGCTTAAAAAGAAAAGAAGATAAATAATACGATTCATGACATATCAAAGAGTGAATAGAAGTTAGCTATTGACTCTTACCACGTGAATATGTAATGGAGTTGTGTGCTCAACAAAGGCATTAATCTCCATACATCATGCCGCACGGTACGCTCGAAGTAGTCATTGCAGAAGGACGCCGTATAAATGATCAAGATGCAGTTGGTAAAAACTACGTAGAAGTTTACTTGGATAAAAATTATAAACTACGGACCACTACCACTTCGAATATCAATAATCCTGTTTGGAACGAACGATTCACTTTCGATATTCGTGGTAGTGATGGTTCCATTCATTTTGAAATCTATGACGACGATGTCGAACATAAAGATCCGATAGGCAAGTGTAAAGTTAAAGTGAAATATGTCATCGATAATGGACACTATGACAAATGGGTAAAACTAACACACATGTCTGAATTGTCATCGGATGGTGAAATTCATATCATCATGAAATTCGAAGTGAGTAATGTTTAAAAAAAAAATTTCTCTACTAATTTTTCTCTCTTTATTCTAGCCGTCCTCGTCAACCCGATCAGAAAAAGAATCATCGTCTTATTTGCCTCTAATATCTGCATGTTGTGTGGCTAATTGTTTACCTACTGCTCGTTGAATGATGCATTTGACCGTTTTATTTTGAACTCGAATGGGAGAAGAAATCAAAATGCAATAATAACAAAATAGCATAAAAAACTGTTGTCGATATCATATTTTGTTGTAAAAAATTAGAAATAAAAGCATTCAAGCTTTCATATTCTATTCAAATTGAATTCGAATGGGAGAAGAAATCAAAATGTAATAATAACAAAATAGCATTAAAAACTGTGGTCGGTATCATATTTTGTTGTAAAAAATTAGAAATAAAAGCATTCAAGCTTTCATATTCTATTCAAAACGGAGTTAAATTCTATCGAAGCTTCTTTCGCAGGTGTTATTTATTACGAAATTCGTAATACGCAATCATGATATCAAAGTTTTAAACTTTTTTTTATTGGGTTAATAAGAACAGAGACCGGAGAAAAAATGTAATGATGAAAAGCAACGAGCATGTGTCGATATAACTTGAAAGAGGCAATATACATTTTTTTTTAATGATGACTTATCAGCAACAAATATTTGCGAACAAAAGTAAAAGCAACTTATACCATTACTATATAAAGACATATGATTACCTTCTTGGATGTTCGGTAATTAGAAAAATTTTAAGATTAATTTGTTGAATATTCCTAAATACGTGACATAAACGTCATATTGACGTTTTTCAAATGAGAAAAATTAAAATAAACTCCGATTTTCGCTAAAAATTGAACGTTTACGGAATCGCTCTACATCAGTTCAGTAAGTAGCGTCAAAGAAGGTTTCAGTGCAAAATAGATATCTGTAGGTTGTATCTATCTAAAAAGATTTAGACTGTTATTACGTATTTTGCAGACAAATAGCATCGAATTTTTCCAATATTGTCATTTTTCTCTTGAAACCTAATCAAAAGACTATCAAATAATCAACTGATTCAACTAAAATTTATATTTTCTTTACCGAGTATCATATGACTAACACCCACACCCACTGTTTGGAAAATATGAAACAGGACTGAAAAAATACCCACTTTGAGATCAATTTCAATGGGTCTGTGTCAACAAAAAAGAAAAGTTTCAAGTAATTTTTGTTGTTTGAAATATTTTCGAGGTGGATTTGTTGTATGATGTTAAAACGCGCTGATGAGAAAATGATTTCTCTATGCATTCTGTTTGCCTCTGGATTCCTCCATCATGAGTGTAGAAGAAGCATATTAATCTCATTCACTTCGTTTTCGACCCATGAGGTTGCTTGCACACGTTTGTATATTGTTTTGTGGTCTTCAAATCGGGTGTTGTTTGGCATCAATGATCAGTACTTACCAGAAGAGAACCTTTGTTGGGTCAACGGCGGGCATATTAACAGAGCGTGTTAAGTATAAACCTACATAATGAATCTATCGAATTCTTTCTTACGGTTTTTAACTAAATACATCTTTCGTAGAAAGGTGCTAATCACTTTTTTCACGAAACATCTGCGGCACTTAATTTCTACCGATATTTTTGGTTTTTATTTTTCGCAAATTTTCTCTTGCTTGAGCGTTTGATGATTATTGACACCCACACCCTGAAAAAGTTTGATTTTATTATACAAACGAAAACCAATCGACTAAACGGTTCAAAAAAAGAATTGCTCGTCGGTATTATTGATATTTATGGTATCGTTTTGTGACCTTTTATAGAAATCAGTAGAACTCCTCATTGTAAACACATTTTCTGTTTCCATCAGCTAGGCATATCTTTGTATTGTGAATATTTTGTCATATTGTCGCACAGATTCAAGAAGAAAAAAGTTCTCTCAAGTATGCACAGTATACCAGTCTATCTCTTTTATTTGCGTTCAACACACAGACAACACGGGTTCGGCTTTCACTATCGGTGCAAAAGTTCCGTTCTTCAATGTAAGTAACGATAGCCAAAAACAGTCGCTAAATGTGATTGTTGAGCAGACCCACGAAGAAGCTCATCAATATAGACTAGAAGTTTTTTCGAGAAACGTACGAACGATCTCACCTACTATCGACCACTACTGATCTTCAATTATATTCAATTGACTCATTTTTTCCATAATAGCGTGTTATATAAGACAGTAGAAATTAAAGATCCATTCAGAGACAAAGTTGAATGTGTTCTCTGGGGTGTTCAAGTTAGAGTTTATTTTTTCGATTAAAAACAAATTGAAGCACAGTAGACTCTACGTGAAATTTATTTAATTATTTCTGAGCAAGTCAAGTAAGGTTCGATTTTGAAACAAAATAGCAATAAGAATCGGAAGAATAATGTATACAATTGAGTGGCTTCTTGCACAAAATCAACAGGCAAGAGAACACGCTGTTTCTCTTATTTTTATCACCATCAAACGTCTATATTAATGATAAGAACGAAAAGAAAAGCCACTTGATGAATTGCGGCTGTCAATTTCATCATCTATGTTGACAAGAGTAGGTAATGTTTTGCTTGTGCTTTGTTACTTGATATGCATAAAACCCTATAGTTAATATTTGGTGAGTTTAGCCCTTTACATTCTGATTTGGGTTTAACTATGCTACATAGATGACAAATTTCAACTAATGACTCAGGAATACCATTTTACTCAAACCATCTATCAATATTCGATTTCTAATTGGTATTTGACTCATTCAGAAGATTATAGGCATATGGATCTCGATGTAAAGAACTATGTTAATCAAAACAACTCGATTCCAATTAGCTTTGGACTCATCACCACTAGTTTTCGTGCAAATAGAGTATGAATTGCATCTATAAGTTCACAAAACTCTATCATCGAGAGGTCATGACAAATCTCAAATTAGTACTAGTTTTTACGAAATATCTAATCGCTGATATCTGATTTTTCCAAAAGAAATAAGATATTTACTTTCTACCCTACTGATTGTTTCAAATTCTCAACGTATGTAACATGCTTGTTTCCTACCTGTACTTTCAAATTCTCAGCAGATACCAGATAACCAGATATTTACTTTCTACGTATAGTTTTAAGCTCTCAAGATATATAACATGCTTGCTTCCTACCTGTACTTTCAAATTCTCAGCAGATGCCGAATATACGCTGTGATGGTGAAATTTAGAATTATGATCTCCAAGTCGTATATCAGTTGTTCAGCTGTGTGCTCGGTTATCAACAAGGTAACGCGACGTTAGCGTCGCCAACCCTCTACTGAAAGGGTTTAGTCATGTAGAACGTAGTTATCCAAAACTATCTAGCTGAGAGACGTCACATTTTATAGCTTTGAAATGATTTTCATGGAAAACACGATTGATAACCGAGCATAAATAGAAAACTTGCTTGGCAGTATCACCAAGAAAACGGCATTTAATTACTACTTACTAATACTTTATGGCGATAGTGAGTTTAAGTGCATCCGATTTTCTACAGCTCAAGCTATGCTCCCAAAAATTTTCGATCAACTTGATAACGGAGTGAAGCAAAAGATCCATTCAGGAGAGCTATTATCGAAATACTCCATTTTAGTAAAGTTACAACTCGAATTGGTCTATGAACTAGATACTTAACATGAATCTGCACGAGTAAATCATAAATCAAATCAAACTGACTTTTTCTAACTCGATTTCGGTTAGCTTTATCCTCATTTTTGTTCAAATCCATCTGGGTTCATTTTACTTTAGTGCGTTTTCTGTCTAGAATGCATATATTCATTCCCGGGTGAACGTTCACAGATAGATAAATCTAAGATTTACATCTTTTGAATCAAATCCACTCACAATCAGGAAAAACTAAACTTATTAAGATAATTACGACAAATATAAATTTCAAATATTTCACACGACTTGAGCAATTATTTCACGACCTGTCTTCGGAAGAACTTCAAGATATCTCCTAGCTTCGAAAATTGTTTCAACTTTTCTGATGGAGACAACGTGTAACTATTCAATAATTCTGCAAGACCTTTAGTCTTATAATCATAACAGATTTTTAACTGAACGGCTAGTCGTTTGTCGGCGCCCCTCTGGGGCGCCACTCACGACCAGCCGTCTGCACTAGTTTCGTTGTGTATATGCGGTGAACGTGATCCTTTTAAACACTGCATGATTGATTGTCAGCTTCGCTTCATTATATAATTATTAGATGAAAACAAAGAGAATTTCCAGGAAACCCGAAAACAACTGTTATGGGACTAATTTAATTCAGTTTCATCCACATATGAAAAAAATTACTCACAGTTTTGAGAAGAATAAGACAAGATTCCTGAGTATTTAGGCAGTTTGCGAGCGTTCGTAGCTGCGCTAATCTAGAATTATACGTGTTAAGTTTGAATAAATTCTTCGTGCTATAATAAAAGTTGACTTATCAAGTATAAACTGAAGACTTCAAAAAAAGCCTTCAACAACTTAGTGTTTATACACAAAATACAGATATGTAGTTATGTTCAACTGTTTGTTGAAAAGGACCTTAGTGCGACATTCTCCAAAACCATGTTTGTTTAAATAATAAAATTTTCGTACCCAATGAAACAAGGATATATCCAGGTAAGCAGCTAGTCGCTCGTCAGGTGCCTCTCTAGGACGCCAATCACGAATAGTCGTTGCGAAATTAAGAATCAATTCCACCGCAAGATGCCTATAGCCTATTCGTAATAAAATCCAATATAAGCATACGATATATATATATACCACTCCCAACACCATCGAATGATACCCTTAAAAGGTTTACTGACAAAGAATTCCTATCAGGAAAATACGATGATCTAAACAGCTCCTAATGCATTATAAACTTACTTGAACTATGAAAGATTATTAAGCATTTATAATATTTGATCCAGCGACAGCCGCTACCTTATTTGAATCAACCTTATTTATTTGTTTAGGATCATAGCTACTAATAACGTCGTTGTGGTACTCCTAAACGCTTTCGAAATACCAGTCACTCGTCAGTTGCTGGTCACTTAGTTTTACGTTTTGAAAAAGCTCATGTGATCATTCTGTGCAACCCTCTTTGTTTATCAAAACGATGACAAAATGTTTTTGAAAAAGTACACTTAAATAAACAAAGTCATTTTTTTCCTAAAAAACTCTCTTTCTCTCGCTAAAAAAGACAGAAAGCGAAACTTCAAAAATCTGATCTCCGATTCGACTCCCTCGAGTCCGACAGCATCTGATCAAACTTTACAAGGAAAACTATTTTCTTGAAAAAATACTTTTCACTAAAACGTTTTTCGTAATACTCTCCTTTCAGTGGAGGGAATTATGATCTCAACGAAACTGTAATATTTCTAATAATGAAGTAAATGATTAGTTACATAAGCAATCGATTTCCAGTGGGTTATCGATCGAAAAACTGTAATGTTGGACTATTTGGCTTGCACTAAAAAATGTACAACTAAACACTCCCCCCATCTATTATGTATACACATTGGTTTTCATTGCATCCATTAGAAGTCTCATCATAAATGGCACACACTCACTTACTTTCTCATATTTTTGTGAAAAATCAAAGATGAATGAAGTAATTTTCTATATAAATAACTAATTTTTTTTAAAATTATCAGTAAATTCTAGGAAGAAGTTGAAGTACTAAAATCGATTTATGAATCCGATCCAAATTTTTCTGTTGTCAATGAGAATACATTTCAATATAAAGTGAGCTTAGAATGTATGCTTGATTCAACTGAAATTATTTCTAAACAAAATCGATTTTTATTCTAAAATTAAATAAAGTTTATACTTGATGATGAACGTTTCTATTTGACTGAAATTCATTGGCCTGATGATTATCCAAATGTGATACCAAAATTCAATCTTGATTTATTTAGTAATCGTCTTTTGTGAGCATTTCGTTTTTAGAAAAATTTTGTTATTTTCATATTCTTTTCTTATACAATTTTAGAACAGCTGATTTCAAACGTAAACTAATAGAAAAACTAACAAACGAAGTAAGATCGACATAATTGTTTTTATTGTTATTATTTAATCCAAATTATTATTTTCAAGGCTAACGAACAATTGGGTATGCCAATGACATATACTTTATTCGAAAGTATCAAGGACTTTGCATATGATGGTAACCTTTTTCAAACTAATTTAGTAAGTAGCTACCTACTTATTAGAGCATTTTATGAACAATTTTCTTTCGTTTACTAGACATCCAATACGAATGTAACAGTACTATCAACAGCAACTACAACTTCGTCTGTGTTAGCTGCACCAGTGGTTAAAAAAGAACAACTAACTAAATCACAAAAACGTCGTCAATGGAATCATCGAGTCGGTGGTGACGATGGGCAAAAACCTCGTGGTTATGATTGGGTTGAGATTGTTCGACATTTATCTCAAACAGCGAATAGAGATTAAAGTTAAATCTGCTTGTTTTCATTTAATAAAAAAAAAACAGCAACAACAAGTTATAATGTCTACTTGAAAATTATTTTCCAGACCAATATTTCATTCGATGATGTTGTTATTAGTAAATCATTTGATTTATTAAATTTTATATTTGATACACTATCATTATTACCAATAAAATCTTGAAATGTTTCCTGAGTATAATCTCTTAATTGTATTAGACGATCTTTTGTACCAATAGCTATGAGAGAATTTTTGTCTCTCATCGTTGAAAAATCAAAACACGAGCACCATTGATTTATTGACATTGTTCGTATTATTTGCTTTGTATCAATATCATATATTCCAATAGATTGATTTTTATCATAACCAGTAAACAAAATTAAATTAGTCTCAATAAAACGTGCTAAGCATGGTGGAGATGATGATTGCCAATGATTTTTTGTATCTGCTTTTGAAAACATTAACCAATCAACTAATGAACATAATTCAAATTGTTGATTTGACTTCCATAGACTAACACGTTGATCATGACTAGTAATTAACCATGTATACAAATTATTGTCTAAGGATCTTTTCGAATCAATTGTACAAATGGGTGCTAAACCATGATGTTCATTAAGTACACGTAAAATAGTACCTTGAGTTAGATTTGATATTGTAACAGAACCATTCAATGCACCGGAAAGACAAACGATTGCTAGAATGATTAAATTTAAAAGCAAGGTGTCTTTTAGAAAAACAAAAAATACGAACTATGCAAAGGAATATGAATTGTAGTAATGGATGATGTATGTGGCTGTAATTTTAGTTGCATTTGTTCGTGTAGAAGACTGAAAACTCTTACTGTTCCATCACTATATCCAGCAACAATGGATCGAACCATTGAATTATCCCACGATGTTAAACATGTGACTTCCTAAATTATTGCAAGCAAAATACATAGGATAGTACCTAGGAAGTGTTTTTTTTTCAACGTACGAATCCATGTGTATTAAAACGAAGAATTTCATTACGATCATCTAATTGAAATATTCGTATTGTACCATCAGTACTACTTGTAACTATATGAGTATCTTCAATTGATATTAAACCAGTTATTTGATTTGTATGCGATGCAACAAGACGTGTTTTCGATCGATCTGTTGTCCAACAAATGTACCAGATTGATCCACATAATGTACCAACAATACCCATGTCGAATGTATTATCAAATGATCCACTTATGATTCCATCGTCTAATTGAAATTCATCTTGCATTTTTAAACCATGATTTCTACAATAAATAAAATAATTTCTTGTTAATATAGAAGAATTTTATTTTACACTTACGAATCGATCGAATCTGATTGGCCTAAATTTGTCTCAAGACTTTCTATATCCCATAGTTTCAAACATCCTGTGGATGATCCCGTTAATAATTTATATTTCGTTGTTGTTAAGTAGCAAATTTCACTGGAATCCGCTTTCCAATGAAGAACACACAAACATAAACGACTATTCCAACAGGTTATAAAACCATTATTTGTTGCACATAAAACAAGATTTACAATCGACGTTAAATAAACGCATGCCGTTACATCGAATGATGGTTTTGAGTGTTCATGTAATAGTATTGGAATTTGTCCTTGGACAACTTGTAGTCGTAGGTTAGTATCATCTGTTTGTTCGTTAATTGTACAAAAACGAACTCCACCATTTGTACCACCAAGACAAAAGTCATTCATACGTATAGGATTCCAAGCAAGACAGTTGATATAAAATGATGGGTTTTCATCTTGCCAATTGACTAAGCGAGTAAAATGATTTGCGTACCAAATAGTAACTATTGATTTTCGATAATTACCAACTGTAGCGAGAAAACGATCATCTCTATAAATAAATAAAATGTTACAACTGAAAATATTTCTGATTTTCCTACTTGGAGAAAGTCATGGATTGTATTGATTGAGCCGATACATTAAAACTGGTCTTCTGTCGAAGTGTTTTCGTATTCCAAACAATAATTTTTATTTGTGGCTCTTCTTTATTTATCGATATTGAACATTGTGCACTGACTAACATCGTTGCATCATGTGATAATGTTATCGTTGATATTTCCTCTGTATGCCCTATTGTGAGAAAAAACTTAAAATCAGATTTTCTAAATTGTAACCCTTGCCAGTTAAAATAGTTTGATGATTAGTAGTTAGATCTTCAACAATAACATGGCAACCAACTGTATAAGCATAGAAACCCGTATTTGCATGCCAAACAAGATTTTCACGGCCATTACCATTATAACCAATGATTGCCTGAAGTTCTAAACTCTCTTGATTCTTTGGTGCTACGTATCGTTTCTACATTTTGATAGAAACTTGTAATTAATCTTTCAAAAAAAATGAAAAATCATCAAATTACTTTTGCTAATTGTGAATGATTAGTTCGTTGAACAAAATGGCGTCGAATGGATGGAGGAGACAGAATATTGTCATTACCGGTTTGTTTTGTTAGTAATTTTTGATTAATAACTTTTCTTGAAAAATGAAAAACATAGTTTTGAATGAAATCAAAAAATTTTAATTTGTTACTTTTCTTCTTGAAACATAGTCACTGTTTTACCGATTTCGAGATTTGATAATGAACGTGTAATAGGACGTGTATTGTTTTCGTTTTTCTGTTGAGCACATTGAAATAGTTCAGATGAATTTTTCGATTGATCTGAACTCGATCGGACTATTGTATTTTCAAGAACTTAGCGGAAAAATTTAATTTTATAAACTAAAATAATCTCCGTAAATTACTTTTGGTCATCATTAGTTGCGGAGAGACAATACACTGTGCATTACTAAAAATATTCTTCCTTTGTAGAATTTGTTTAGCTTTTTGAACGAAAAATTTATTACTTTGGCATAGTTGGTCGTGATGTATTCCAAGCAAGAACATTCCAAATTAAAAGTGAATCTCCAATACTTATAACATGCATATTATCGTCAGTGAAGAATATTTTTCGTATTGGTCCAGAATGACAAATAAAATTCTATGAGAAAATTATTCGAAAAACTGGTTCTGGTATTTTTTTTTAGTGAGATTAAATCTACTTGAAAATTTTTATCTAATTTCATATCAGCATCCCAAAATTTTAGCATACCATCACCACCAGTGATGAGATATCGCCCATTCGAAGATAATGCTAGACTATCGAACGAACGCTTATGTACATTATCAATCTATAGGAGAAATTTTATGAAACAGAAAGCAAAATATTCAATCATACAATCTGTAATAATTTTCCAGTGTAAGAATCAAATTTGAGCAATTTAAATTTTACTGTTGCAACATAAAGATATCGAGTTGGTGTAAAACGAGCAAATAAAGCTACATCGGATGAGGTTAATGTACAATCACTTATATCGATTCTTAATGTTTCATTGAGACTATTCGTTTCAATGATTGTAACAATAAATTCTGTAGGTCCAATATAAACGGCATATTTACCATCGGCACTTAGTGATAATGGCATCGATCCTTTTTCTGAACGTATTACAGCTTCAACTATGGTTTTGTATAATTTATAGCTATCAGTAGCATCTGATAAACATAGATCACCTTGTTCATCACTACTTAACAAATATGATCCATTATGAGAATACAGTAGACCAGTGACGCTGACATTATGATGCCTAAAATTTACATAGGAGAGACAATTTTTTTTGACTACTCGTTTGCATTTCCAGGTGAAGTTATGCTGTTACTTACTTGACTTGATGCAATATAATTGATGTATTCAAATCAAATATTTTAATTGTTCCATTATTGAATCCACAAGCACATATTTTTCGATTAGGCGCATATACAACAGCTAACGGTATTTCTCGTTCGGACGTAAATTCTGATAGTTGCTTACCCGTTTGAAAACACCAGCTCCGTATAGTACCATCTTGCCCGGCACTGATCAATTGTTTTTTTGTATCATCATAATCAATATCAGAAATAAATTTGGTGTGTGCTCGTGTTAAATTCAAATGTAATTTAGTAACAAGATTTAATATATTCATCGATCCGGATACTGTTACAATAAATATTCGAGTTTGATCATACGAGGGTACTAAACCACAAATAGTTCGATCATATTTAGCTTCAATATATACTTGAGAGAAGTCTATCGACCAAACACGAATATATCCATCTGTAGAACCTGTGATAAAAAAATTATTTGTACATGCTAAGGCAGATATACTAAATGTTGATCCTTTGCTCATAGTAAGTTTATCAGATAAATGATGAATTCGAATAACACGTCTTTCATCGTACAATAATTCTAATATTTGACCTGTTTTGGTCGCGATATAAGCAATAACTTCATTTAGTTTATGATTAGATAGATGTAGAAATTGCAAATCAGTATATTCGAAACGGTCAGTATCATTGGTTAGAATATTTATTGATTTTAAATCATTGCCATTCCGAATACGCCATAAACATATTTTATCTAAATCAATCGATATGAATTTTGTTGTATCGTATGGAATAAAACGTATATGTGTTATTGATACATGTGTTGTTGCTCGACATGTTAATTCAATTGAATCTTTGGACGCATTTAATACATTATAAACGCAAACAACTGTATGAGCTTGTTCATCGTGACCAGCAACAACTAGAGACGATGACGATGACGAAGTTCCAGTGCTAAAATCTAATGCATGTAAATCATGTGTATTAGGAACACGAATAGCAGAAATGCAACGACGACTTTCGAATTTCCATAAACGAAGAATAGCTAAGAAAGAAAATATTAAATTATCATTTAACTCAACTCCGCATAGAAATTTGAATAGCTAATAAAAAGTTGTATTCTTACCATTAGGTCCTGTTTGTATCGTTGCTAATAATGATGAATTACTATTGAAAGCAATCGAACTTATTTTATCTGTATGTCCAATAAAAAACCATTGTTGTTGTGTTTCAATATGCATTTGAACAACAATAGCATTTGCTGAATAGATCACATAGTTACCATCGTGTGTCCATAGAAAATTATTAAAACCACTAGTGAGTCCAATCACAGTTTGCAAACGAAGTATTGGATCAGGAAGAAGAGCACTATGATTCTGAGATTGTTGAGTATGATCCATTGCCAAAGTAAGATCATAATCGGAATTATCAGCTATTGCAGATGATGATTGCTTCGATGGTTCGGGACTAACAAATAGATGAATACCATCATTATTAGGAGATGAAGTAGAAGAATTATTTATAATAGGTAATAATGGAAAACAATCCACTGGATTATTATATGTACGCCAATTCAGCTAAAAGAACAAACATAACAAATCATTTTTTTTGGTGCAATTATTAAAATACCTGAAGATCTCCTGGTGATACAGATCTATTTGTAATATGTGATAAATCTGTTATTGATCTGCTGAGTTTTCCGTTAACAAGTGTCGTTTGTGCTGTTAATGGTAATAATTCATCATGATCAATTTCATTTGATTCATTTGTCTTTAATTTTTTCGGTGTTGGTAAACGTACATTACCCACTTTATCGAATGGTTCATTTGGATTTTTTCCTACTGACGATGTTGTATTTGGAAACATAATAAAATCATATCGATCATGCCAAGATTGACTTTTATCCATTGGAAATGATAATTCACGTGGTAATGAACGTATGCCGGCACGTGTCAAACCCGTACGCTTAGCTGTGTCACTATCAATACCAGGTTCGTATAAAAATTGCGATGTAAAACAATTTTTAACAAACATATTTCCGCATAGTTGAAATGATTTTATCATATGATAATGTTCGTTTGTCATATATGTTAATAAAATTGTATGTAAATCTAAACATAATACGGACCAATGAATATCGGTACCAGTTGTCATGTAAGGAAGTTGAATAGACGTTTGTGTTACTTTTAATTCACGATATAAATTTGATAATGATATACGTATAAGATGTTTTTCATGTGTTAAAATATCAATATGTATACAAAAACATTTGTCAAACATCGGCCGAAATAATAAATAAAATAAACGACCTGTTAAACATAAACTTTGATTTACGGATTCCGATGGAAATTGTATATAATTATTTGCAGGTACTAAACCACGTATACGATATACAATTGATTTTAGATCACGATCCTATTTTTCAAAAGAAAAAAAAGATCATTAGCTATTTATTAATTAAAAAGTAAAATTTTACTATGAAAGTAGAAACATCTCCATTTTTAACACATTTTTTAGCTGAAGTGATGTCAAAATGTTTGAATATATTAACAAATGGATGTTGCCATGAACTGCTAGTCATCATTTCAAACGATTAATGATTGATGTCTCTCTTGTCAGAACGACCATAAGCAATGAACTTGAGAGGTCAAGTCGCCTAGCAGACTACCGGTAAATGTATTGAACATATGCGATACTTATTAGTGACATCTATTACCATGTAAAACAATAGTGGAATCGATTCGTCTTACTAACTTCGAATAGATTGTTTGTGGGATACTTTTTGCTGTGCTGTTACATAATATGTGCCCTACTGGTCATTTATTATTTTGAATCAATCGAACGATTGAAACTATGAGAGTAATTTTAATTGGTGCTGGCATATCAAATGCTCTAATATCTATTTTACTTCGTCGTCAATATGGTGCTGATCTCAAACTTGTTGTCTTTGATAAAAGCAAGAATGTTGGTAAGAACAAATTTTTAAGAAAATTTCACTCATTTTGTAACTATTTCAGGTGGTCGAATGACAACAAGTTATGATAGTGAAGAAAATCCTCATTGTTTCCTTGATACTGGTGCACAATATTTAACATTAACTAAATCAAATAGTACAACGACAAAGTAAACTTGATTGATTCTTTAAAATCGTATATAAATATGAAAAAATAGATTTTTTCAAGAATTAATCGATGATAATGTTATAGAATTGCTTGATAAAGAAAACATCATCGGCATGCGTGACAACACAAATAAAATCAATTATACCGCACCACGTGGCATAGCATCGGTTGTTCGATACTATTTTGATCAAGCAGGTAAATCATGCGTTAGAACGAAGTTAATATTCATTAAATATTTTAGCTGTGCAAATGAATCTTTCGAAACATATCACCAATATTGATCTTAGTGCAAGCAAGGATAAATTTTCAGTATCAACTAGTAAAGAAAAATTAGATGAAGCCGAAACTGTGATTGTTACTGTTCCACCACCACAAATACTAACTGATCTCAAAGGTTCTATTGCGCAATTAATAGGTATAGATACAAATTTTTAGTTTTTTTTATTATTCTTTTATTTTCCTAGAAGATAATAAAGAAGTCAAAGATAAACTTGATCAAGTGAAATTTTCTAGTCGTTTTTCTGTTGGTCTTTTTTATCCACCATCAATAACAAGTCTAAATATGCCATGGCGTATGTATTATGTTGATAAAAATGAAAATGATTGCCTTCGTTATCTTGCGATAGATAATGCAAAACGAAATAAGAGTGAGTTCGAAAATAATTCGAGTTTTTCCGCTAGATTAAAATTTGACTTTAGATGATCCACCATTTTCTCTTATTGCTCATACAAGTGTTGAGTTTGGTGCAAAATATGCTGAAGTAGATAAAACAATCATAGGCGAACAAGTGAAAGAGAAAATATTTCAATTTCTACCTAAACTTCCACGTGAAGTTAGCAATGTAAAATATCATAAATGGAAATATTCACAAGTAAATTTACAAAAGCATAATTATATAAATATATATATATATGTGTGTGCTTGGTTTTAGGTTATTCAATCGTATCCAGATAAACTCGGCTGTGTTGTCCTGAAGGAAAATCCTTTGTTGGTCTTAGCTGGTGATAGTTTTGCAGGCGAATCAAATTTTGAAGCTTGTATCGAAGCAGCAATTGAAACAGTGAAAAAAATTGGTGGATTATTTAAATAGAGACTTCCACTTTCTTTATGTTGACTGTAGAGCTTCGAATTTTAAATCCTAAAAACCTCTTATCAATGAGAAATAAATAAATAGTTTTGATAAAATTTTGAAAAATATCATGTCCATCGTTGGAATAGAGCTCTTTAATTTGATGATATTCACAACTGAAAATGTTCTATATCATGTTCAATACATCTCTCATTGTCGACTGAAATTACTTTTGGTTATCAAGAGAGAGAGAGAGAGAGAGAAATATTTTAATGTAGCAGAAACAAATCGATCAGTTTATTTTTATCAATATAATGTTGCTCTCGGATATGATTGCCTATCAAAAATTTAACCATTTATTTAAATAAATACATGTTTTAGGCGTTATCAAACCATCATCGTGACAATCTTTAAAAACAGGACAAATTCCACATGGATTTCTTACAACTGGAGATGAATCAAGCATCGATCTAACAGATCTATATAACGATTGTCGATTACCAGTTTCATTATTTGCCGTTGTAGCAACTGTTGTTTTTTCAACTTTACCATCAGAAATAAGTGTATACAATATGGATTCAATATCTTGTACAGTTAAGGATACAGTGGCAATACCCATTTCATTAATAAGTGCCACGAGATCAACGCTCGACACCAATGAACTTGTTCGTCGTAGAAATGGATCATTAGGAAATTTTGTTGTCGCTTCTTCTAATCGTTCATCTAATAATCGAGCACACTGTTCATTTAGCACACGAACGAATTCAGCTTCAAATTCATGATCAGAATACCATGTACCACCAGTTATGGTTGGATCAGGCGTCATTTCGTACAGCATATAAACCTTAAAAACAAATATATTTTGCATTTCTCTCTCGATAAAATAATAATTCCTCTTACTTTTTTCTTACTAGCATGTACGGATTTAACAGCTTTAATTAATTTTTTACTTTCCAATGATTTCAATGTTTTAGTGAGTATTGTTTGTGATAATTTTGTTTTAATACGTATATCACGCATCCATATTCCTAAATTGCCACTTTCTTTTACAAGCTGATAAACAACTCGTTCCATTTGATCAATCACACCACCAGTGACTGTGATCGATGAGCCTAATCCATTCGTTGTATCACGTATACGATAGAGAAATGTACCGGGTTCAGACGATGATTTCAGTAAATCAATTTTATTCAGTGATAACAGACGATTCAATGCACTAACACGTTGTTGCATTGTAACACTACGGAATGAATTTTCAAGAATTTTATCACTAACCCCATTTGGAAATTGTAAACATAATTGTATAATGGACGATTCTAAGTTAACTGGATCGAAGTCAGACGCTTCACCTGATGTGTCCATGGGTTCACTTTTTGCATGAGATAAAGCCATTTGTTTGAACTCTATTCTAGAAGAAAGAATAACTTAATTCTTCACGGCAATCATTTTATTCACTGTCAAAAAGAAAAAGTTGGATTTGAATCAAAAAACAAAACACAACAAAATGGCATAACACCATAAGGGAAAATCACACAGCAAGAAAAACAACAAAAATGCTGTTTTAGTCAAAATCGGCATTTTCATCTTCTTCAATAATTGTATGATCTTTATTGGGTTGAATAAGTCCATAAGACAAACATTGTTGAATTATATCCGAAAGTAATTTTCGATTCTTAAAAAAAATAGAAAACTCAAATCTATAAATAAAAGAACACGAAAAAAAAAGAATGTTTTCCGACGATTACCTTTTCATTTGTTGATCCATCCTCTTTTATTTCTTTAATAGCGAATAAAACATCCATTAAATCAGTTTGAACAATACCCATCGCAACTTCTTTATTGGCTCTTACTAAATTACGGATAACATATAAAGCTCGATATTGTATTGCATCATCTTCTGACGCACACAATTGTTTAAAAATCTCTGTAAATGATGTAACCTAAAAAGAAAATTTAATTAGTTTCGCCTGAGAAAATGATCGACTTACATTAATTATTTTGTCACATATAATTCGATTTTCTTCGAGATATTCATTTAATTTTTTACGATCTTCATCATCTAATTCAATATCTTTATATTCTTCAAGATCAATTTGTAATGTAGATAAGATTGCCAATGTTGCTAAAGCTGCTTTTATTAACGAAGGATCTTCTTCTCCACATAATAAAACCACTAATTTAATTCGATCATTTTCACCAGTAAAATGTTTCGTTACCTAAATTACAGTAAAATGAAGTTCTCGAATGAGAAAGAAAACGAAATTCTACTGATTTTTCTTACTTCTTCTTGTACAACTAAATTGCTTATACATTCCGTAGCTGCACGTCGGAGCATTGTATGGTCTTCATACATGTACTGTTCGATATTGGGAAATCCACCTTCTTTTAAAATACGTTTTCGAACACTTTCACCACCAGTAGCTAAATTTGTTAAAGCCAACAATGCTTCAAAGTTTTCCAATGCTGTATTTTCCAGTTTAAGCAAATGAAGAAGTGGTCGAACAAGTTCAAGCATCTTTAAAAAGAAATAAAGCAAAACGTCTTTTTCTAGCACACTCACTGTGGAGATTAAGCGAAATTCTCAAAAAAAATCCTACTGATTATATTCTACTCAATAATCATCGATTTTCTCTAAATGGGATGTGAGTTTCATTTAGCAACATACACGTTGACCAGGAAAAGCCATTTCCGGATTGGCTGTAATCGCTATTTTAGCTAATGCTTGAGCTGCTTTAGTTTTGCCAGCAGGTGTTCCATCCAAGGCAAGTGGAAGTAATGCCTAGAGAATAAAATACTTATTAACCGATAAAGATAATTTCTACGACATACTTTTGCTCCTCCAGCTGCAACAATAGGTCCACGATATTTTTCGTTTTCACTAAGTCCAAGAAAAATTCTTCAAAATAAAGAAAAATAAAGGTTGTTTTGCATTTCGATGATGAATAAATTGTGCTGTCTCACCTTGCCACTTGTTCTCGACAATTATCACTTTTATGTTTACATAATTGTACCAGAACAGATATTATCCCAGCGTCGACTAATTTTCGACGACGTTCTTCATAAGACTCTGTATCATCCTTTTCAAAGCAAAATAAAAATTATGTTGAAACAAATAATAATTATTTACTTTCGGATGTTCTTTAGGAACGTGTTGTTTAGCATAAGTAGCTAAGTCAGCCATTTCTTTATCGGCTTTTTTCGTATCATATGTATTTGTTAAATTAACAAATATTGTTGTTATCGAATATAATACGTGTGCATCTTCACATTGGCATAGATTAAAAAGAGATTTTATTGCAAGAATATTATCAACGAGTTCTTCTTTAACATCAGCATCTAAACTTAAATAAGCAAGACCATCGGCTGACCAACGACGAATTTCGAAATTTGGACTCGTAGTTAAAAACCTTGAAAATACGGAACAGTTTTATTTATCAAAGTAAAACGAATTTTTTTTTCATTTTAATCTACTTGCAACATGCCCGAGATAATGTTTGACATGAACCTTCTGTAACAAGATTCGCCGCTGAATCTGTACCTTTGCTCGATGCAATTTTTGATAAGCCCTAAAAGAACAAAACTTCACATTGAGATTTAATGCAAGAAAATTTTCCTACCACAAGAGCAATAACTTTTATTTGTTCATTCGCTGATTGATAAAGATCTTTAAGAATTTCTGAGCCTAATGATAGAATACCAGCAGCCTTATCTTTTTTTGAAGCTGATAATACAATAGCTTCCACGGCAATGCGCTAAAAGCAAAATTATGAAATATATTAATTGTCATGAATCAATATCAAATAGTACTTCTTGCAAGGGATCACATGAGCCAGCCATTTGTATCATAAGATCTACTAGATTTTGACTGCCTAAGATAGCATTGCCAGTATCGAATGGACCTTGTAATAGAACCGATAAAGTTGATATTGTTCGTACACGTGATTGAACATCATCTCGTTCGCGTAGTGCTCTAAAAGGGATTATTTAAAATAAATTTTTCGTCAACTGCCTTGTACTCAGTGCATAGATTTCCCTAGAAATTTCGATCTTCAATTAAATAGTAAACCTACATGATAAATTCGGCACATTCATTATTGAAATCTTCGCGTGCTTTATCCGAATATAGATCATGAAAAACAACACTCAATGTGCATGATATATGCATTTTGGTTTTTTCTGTTAATGGATATTGTTTTTTGTCAGGGTCGGGCAAATCCGGTACTGTCGCTGCTACTCGCAATACTTTTGGTAGACCTATTCAAATGAAAATAATTGAATTTAAGGGAAAACAAAAAAACATTCTTCTTCTATAATAACCTGATAAAATAAATTTAGTTGTCCAATTACAACCACTTGCTCGGTCAACAAATTTAAGAACAAGATCAAGGCAACAATCACGTCCAACGCCAGAACATGCTCTATCATCAATTAAATTCAGTAACATGCGAAATATTTCATTAATAAATTCGGTAACAAATGGATCTATATTCGTAAAAAGTTTTCTGTTTTGGTGTTTTATTTTAAATTATAAATAATTACCGAAATTATATGGAACATTGACAGGTTTGCGAACTTTTCGACGATTTTCAAGATCACATATTGACATAAGCATATTATGAACCAATATAGATGCGCTAGTTGTGATTTCTGCATCATTCATTGCAAAACAACGACTTATTGGTTTCAATCCAAGTGTATTATAAACGATTTCAGCCTTACGACGAAGAAAAAAAGAAATCATTTGTTAGCTAATAATGATAGGAAATTAAAATATAAAACAAATCTTACTCGTTTATAAGAATTTTTTGCAATTTCAGCGAATATTCTTAATGCACCAAGGATGCACGTTCGATCGTCTCTCTGAATAAATTCCATTAAATGTTTCAGATCAGTATCATAAGCAAGAATAGCGTCGGCGCCAGACGATTCACGTGATATAACAAGAATATTATTTAAAGCCTAAAAACCATTTGAGTTAAATATTTGAATTCATGTATTCTATGCGTATATAGTACCGATCAAATAAATACAAAATAATTCGTGCATAGACAATGCCGAATCAAATAAATTTCATGCAATACATGCAAAAGTTAACACTGCATATCCAATTAAAACTCTCTTGTGTATCATCAAACAAAAACGTATTTCATACAGTTTCTTGTTGATTTGATTTCGAAATAACAGTTTCAAACATCTGTTGAACTTTACTGTTCAATTGTGTTTGCTGTGAAACCTTTTTATAGAAAAACAAAGATAAATAAACGAAACGAAATTTGATAGTCTGAAAAACGTACTTTGCTTTGTGCAGTTTCACGTAATTTTCGTAAAAGATTGTAGGTTTGCTCATCTGTCGATCCGCCTTTTGATGAAATAGCCATTAATCGCTGAGCATCGGATATTGCTTGATTTAATTTTCCAGAACGCTCGAAAGCGTTTGCTCGACGATACAACGACTTTTGATCAGCTGGTGTATACTCGAGAGCTAAAAAAAAGCAACGATTACTTCTATTACTAGCTATACACAATCTAGTTGTTATTATTAATTATGGAAGGCAGACATCAGTTTTATTCAATATGAGCTACTGAGGATCTTCATACCTTTGGTGGCATCTTCAATGGCATCATCATATTGTTCTAAATTGATATTACACTGAGCACGATTGCTGTAACATTTAGTCAAATCATTTTTAATGCTGTCATTTAATTGTTCATTGTTAAGAGCGTGTATTGCATCTGTATATCGATCAATAGCTTCTTGATAGTGTCCTTGTTTAAATGCTTGATTTCCTTGTTCTCTAAATGTTGCAGCGTCACCCGTAATGTTGGTCATTTTTTATTTATCTGAAAACAAAAAAAGAAATCATTGCATGTTTCTTCCTCGGAAAATAAATAAACATAAAATTTGCTGAAATTAAAAACACGATCAACTTCGATTATAACGATTTCCATGACCGCGTGGATTATCGTCTTTAAATTCATCCGTTAGACAAACGTTTTGTCGATGTGCTGGATCATCTACTTCGTTTAATTGTTCATCTGATAGTGGAGCTGGTTTTGAAGGTGGAGCTGTAGAAAGAAAGGCGAATTAAAACGAAAGTTATATAAAATAACAAATATTACCTGGCTGTTGAGCTTGTCTTCTAGCAAGATCATCATAAAATTCTTGTACAGTCATCGTTGGTATACTAGATTAGACGAAAACGTTAAATATTCAAATATAAATAACAACTCTAAATCTCTCCAATATAATTGGTATTTCGTATACAGACAATGTCCTATCCTCCTCCGTCTAGGACGAAGAAAACTTCTGTCTATATAAACTAAACGAATCATCTCACCTCGGATAGCCAGCTCCTCCAACAGCTTCTTTGTACAGTCGATCTTTTGTTGTCACCAATGTAAATGGTCCATCAATAGGTAATTTATTGGTTGCTGTCGCTGAATTATTAATCGGTGGTATTGGGTTTTTAGCAAATTGAAGTAATTTGATTTCATCTAAAAGAAACGAGTTTGATATAAGAATTCGAATCTTACTCATTCCAAAAACAACGAAACCTTTCAATTCAAAAATATCATCTTCAGCTTGCTTAATCCACCATCTTATTTGTTCCAAATATAGTCGCCGTTTTGTTTCATCATCTACACGATTACTATCTTGCATCATCTCACGTAATTTTGTAATAGATTGTTCGAGTGCTTTTTTTTCTTTTATTCTAAATAACAAACATTCAAATATCTGTTCTAGAACTTCGCTAAAATTTCTTACTTTTGAATTTTTGCTTGACGATCCTCAGTGGTATGTAAACGAAATCTTTCTTTATCATCATCTTTTTCTATTGGAACGTGTTTAACAAGCCCATAGTTTTTACACAACTGTAAATATTTAACCAAATATGATATTGATAAATGAATATCATCTAATCGTTGTTCACGATTTGATGAACGATATTCATACAGCCAGCCAATTAAAGCATACAGAATAAAATACCTATTTGATAATCAATAGAAGTAATGTACTACTTTTTAGATTTCTTACCTTAATTCATTGGATGCTACTTCATTGATTTCTTCATTGTCCGAAAATAAATGTAATTCATCAAGTTTGTCTTCTGCAAGTTTTAAACGTTCAATTGCAATGTTGAATGTTTCGAGTTTTTGTTCGATTTTATTTGTTTCAAGTTTTTGTTGAAGATCATAGGAAAAATCAAATAATTCTGATATCGTTAATTCATCGTTCGATGTCATCTGAAACATGAAAGAAAATAACAATATAACCAAACGTCATATGAGAATATCAAACATATGCTAATTTTCGTTTTACAATAAAATAAAATAAAAATAAAATAATACAAAATTAATTTCTTCGAAATATCCAAGACAAAAGATGGTCGTGAAATATTATTACTTTCTTCTCGTGGTTATGTTGATGATATCTTCAATTACATCGGAAAATTTGGGATTTAATTTTCCATGGTCAAAAAAGGCTGATACTAAGAAATTCGCAACGACACTTCCACCGGAAACAGTTCATTTAACGATGCATGAAAAAAGTTATTCAACTGAAGAAAAAGTTAAATATATTAATGATTGTGTTAAAAAGTGTATGGCTACTCAACCGCAAAGATTAGAAAAACGAGATTTTCTTGATTTAGGTCGAGATAATTGTATTGAAATACATTGCCAAATTTATGAACGGCGTCGTTAATTTTTTTTATAAGATCGAATAAAAAAGAATGTTTTTCGACGAACATCTGTCTCAAAATAAAGTATTGAAACTTTCTCCTTACACGAAAATATCTATCGACAATGGCAAAACTTCAATGTCTTATGGAAAAACTAATTCCGATATTCTTACAACGTAAAAAACTATATTTCGTCATGAAGTATATTTCTACCAGTGAGATATTGTCTGATGCAAGGATAACCGCACGGTATTATAAGAGATTTTTCTATCTAAACAGTTATTTATAATACGATACTCGACTAACTAAAGTAAAAGCAATAGGATGAAGAACTAAATATCGATTATTTCCTATCGGTTATATATACGCGTATATATTGTTCACTCATATGGGAAAGGATAAATAAATAAATAGGCTAAAATAATTGACCAATCAGAAAACGCATAAACAACTGATCGAAAGTAAACACATGTATATATATAATCATTCATTTAACCATCAGTTTTCAAAATGGCGAGTTCATTTTCATTCGTCGACGATCTAATCCGTGATTATCTTAATTATCGTGGTCTTACAAGCACGTTAAGAACATTCGATAATGAAATCGGCAAAATTCCAATTGGACAATTTCGTGCTGATCGTATAATTGAACAATTAACAATTTATATTCATCAATTTGATATAAATAATTTAATTGATTATTGGACACAACTAGAGCAACGTCTTTTATCAACATTAATCATTCGTTCTCAACATCAAACAAATGTTTTAACAAAAACTCGTACAAATTTATATCGTTGCTATTTAATTCATGCGATTCAATCATCGAAAACAGATAAAATCAATGAATTTTTCGATCGATTAGCAAAAACTTTACAACAATCAAATGAATGGACTAAGGAATGGTTTGCATTACCATTTATAAAAAATCCGGAAGAAAATCCGACATTCCAATTATATTTTTCAAAACAATGGAATGATCTTTTTTGGATCTCATTACAAAATTTTCTATCAACTGCTTTCTACCAGTAGGACAGAAAAAAAGGACCAAAGTTCTTCTATCAAAAGTATTTTCATTTTTTATTAGTATGATACCACCGAAGATCTGTTCAATGGAAGAGAACAATTCGCAGCAATACGGCAATTTAATTAGTCAACAAACAACAAATTTGAAATCATTACTTCCACCTTCAGCTGTACGTTGATAATATACGAAAAATGAAATACAGCATATGTGAAAGTCAAAGTAGAAGATATTTCGAGTTTGTTTTCTGATAGTGTTCAATAGATTATTCGAACTTAATTTCAAAATATTTTCACATAGCACTTTTGACTTGATTCCATCAAAACAAGACGAAGTCTAAAGAAAAAAACTATCTGATAGCATGCATATATGTATTTTTGTTTAGCGTATTGATCCATCGGTGACACCATTTGCTGAAGTTCTTGATGAAATTCAAATATCACCAAGTACATCTGGAACTGAACAGCAACGTCAAACAAATCCAACTATAATATCAAAATTTCGAAGTAATTTTTTACCAAATACAAAACAATTAACATCACGAAGTAAATTGACTAGCATTTTTATTTCTTATCTATCTTTCTTCTTTATAAAGCTAAATTATCTTTATTGGGAGCAACATCAAAACTAAGCGTTTCTCAACCATCGTCTGAGTCTACAACAGGCAATCAAATTTTACTATCTACCGATGATACAACAATACCACGTATACCATTATCACCTATGGCGACATCACCCGTAACGCCAACACGACCTAAAGCAGCAACTCTTGTTCAAGATGATGCTAATGTATGAAAAAAAAATATATGCTCATATATCCACGTATGTGGTTCGATTGTCTTTTTTTTATTTTCTTGATTGTCTGATTTTTCAATTATATGCTGATTTTTAAGATTTGACGAGAATGCTTAAAGAGAATTGCTTAAAAACTCTGATCCCTTCTAAGAAATTTCTATGATTAGATCGATGTTAATGAAGAAAAATTAATTCATCTCGCAGAATTAAAACATCATTCAAGTACAATTATTGATTGTAAATTAAATATGGATGGTACACTTTATTCTACACTTGACATTCAAAGTCAAGTTAAAAGTAAAAAACAATCCAATCTATTTGTAAGCCTTTGCATTTTGTCGTTGCCATTTTAAGTCTGGTCTACAATCGAAGAATTCGACATAGTAACCTCATTGATTTCACGTTCAGCTTCATTTCAATGTCAAGCATTTAATATTCATGAACCATTACTTTATCTGGGCACTTCAATGTCTACTATAAAAATTTTACATACAACAGAAAAACGTATTATAAACGAAGCTATTGTTGATAAAGATTATCCAAGAGTTATGAATATCTATCCACATCCCAACCTAAGTAAGACATTTTGATTTATATACATATAATCGAGTCCGTCACAAATGTTGTTGTACAATTCACAGTTAAAATAAATTCCTATCACAATTTAGATCGTCTTTTTGTATCATCGGCAAGTCCAAGTCGTTTGAATACAACAGACAATATTCGTGTACGTTCTGGTCGTGTGTCGATTGTTGATTTAAATACATGGTCTATAGAACGTGTACTCACTGACAATGATGATAATTTTGTTACATGTATGGCTGTACATTCCGAACGAGAATTATTTATTTTAGGTAATACATTTATTCATCCGTCTTTTTTGTTTCAAACTTAAATTAACAAGAAATATAATCAAGTTTTGTAGGTTTTAATGATGGAAAATTAGCTTTATATGATGTTCGGTCGAATACTCTCGTTCATCAAAAGCAACAGCATTCACGTATGATTCAAGATATTCGTATTCTCGGTGATAATCTATATTCAATTGGAAACGATAATATAATTATTCAGTCAAATTTATCTTCATTTGATCAATCCATTCAATCATATGAATTGCCTTATTCAGCGGTTGGACCTTTCCCAACCAGTGTCTCGACATATTCAAATGATAATAGTTCACCATCACTTCAACGGACTTTAACATCATTAAGTAATGCTAATTACTTTCCTATTGGTACCTATTGGTAATGTTTTCGATATTGATCCATATGATTCGGATCGTTTAATAACATGTAGTCCAACGAACGGACGTTTTTATCGTTTGTCAATAAGTGATGAAGATACAAAACTTCAATTTCCGTCGAACGTAAATTCTTCCGTTCAAAATTCGGAAAAATCTTTTCCAACTTTATGTGTCAATTGGAATAAAGAACGCGATGTGTGTATGACAGCAAATACAAATGGAACAATTCAATTATATAGACGAATAAATAAACCTGATGTGTAATTTTTACTTGTGTGTGTGTGTGTGTGACTAAAGTTAATTTTTATTTTTTTTAATATAATGATATGTAGAGGAAAATGTGNGGGCGTTTTTATCGTTTGTCAATAAGTGATGAAGATACAAAACTTCAATTTCCGTCGAACGTAAATTCTTCCGTTCAAAATTCGGAAAAATCTTTTCCAACTTTATGCGTCAATTGGAATAAAGAACGCGATGTGTGTATGACAGCAAATACAAATGGAACAATTCAATTATATAGACGAATAAATAAACCTGATGTGTAATTTTTACTTGTGTGTGTGTGTGTGTGTGTGACTAAAGTTAATTTTTATTTTTTTTAATATAATGATATGTAGAGGAAAATGTGTGATTGATTGAAAGAAAAGAAAACGAAGGGTTACAATTATCTCAATGTAATCATAGAAATTGATAGACGAATTTTGACTTTTATATATATATATATATATATATAATACGAATACAAGTTAAATAAATTATCGATCGTAATTCGATCTCTTTTAATCTTGTTGCCTAACAAAGATCATCGTTGATAAGTGAAAATAGAAAGTATCGGGTGAAGTTTAAATGTGAAATCGAGTTTTGTTTGATGAAAATTGATCTTTCAAGTTAATATCTTCAAAATTGAAACGAACTAGCTACACTTGCGTATTAGTGTATGATTTAAGTGTGAGATTTAATGTGAAAACTGAAAATGCTTTTTTGTAACGACTCCGTTTAAACACCTGACTGCCTCAAATTGATTCAGCTAGTTTTTCTTTCATTAGCTTGCATTTTCGCAGAAAACATATAAATGAACACTGATCTCTTACTTATCATAAGTATATTTAGATATTTTGTTCTGATAGCTATCAGATGAATAAATAGTTTCAGAGAACTTTTATCTTTGCATTTTGATCTCTGGAGACGATAAGTAATTGTGCATTGCAGCCCTATTCAACAGTTTTTCTATCTAGAAGCTTCCTTATCGATTGCATTTAGTAAATAATAAGGTAACCTAAAAGGTAACAGGAATGTATAGACTTATACTCAGTTAGAAATTATGCTTTTGAAAGTTGTTTCTTTCGTTTTGTTGCTAAATGGAGCAGTTGCACAAGAACCTTTGAGAAACTTCGTACCGTTCGGTACTACAGTTGGCGATGAAACTATGTCACGGCCGATAGATTCGCTTACCTCATCTGTTCCTATCAATATACGTTTTTCATTTTTTAACAAATCGTATGATGAAATAAAATTGTATGGCCACGGCTTGATTCTCTTCGGTAATGTTACATACAATTTACCGCACCAGCCTCCAGGTCCATTTCCATTACGTGATTTTGTATGTGCGGCACCATTTTGAGCAGATACAAATATTGTACAAGATAGTTCAAGCAATATTTTCTATCGACAAACATCCGATGAAGCTAAATTAAGTCAAATTACAGATATGGTACGCAATGAATTTTCTGAGATATCAAACAATCGAACGCTATGAGCATTTGTAGGCACATGATTCAGAGTTGCAGGTCATCAGACAAGTTCAGGCCTAAATACTTATCAAGTAAGTCAATCAGAGCACTTTCACAAATAACATTGAGAAACATAAAACTGACAATGATGCAATAATAATCTATGCTTTGAATTTTAGGCTATCATAACAACAAATGGACTTTATTTGTTTACAATTTTTACATACAACCAGTTACCATGGTCTGCTGGTGCATGGGGTGGTTTTCCTCAAGTAGGTTTTAATGCAGGCGATCAAGTTAAGTTTTTTTACTTTGGTAAAATCATTTACATCGGATGTTATTGATATAGTAAGCGAGTCAAATATTGGTGTTGCTGGTCAATTTATTTTCCATACAACTGATCCCGTTAATGATGTTCAATGTAACACAACACAAGGCTTACAAGCTTAACTTTTTTGAGGTTCTATGTACGATGGTTATGAATTAAGATTATTCGGTATTTGCTTTACTGACAACTCGTACATCATTGAAGTCGATGGTCAAGAAGTTACTAATTGTATTCGTACGCCAGTTTATATGATATGTACAATGCCTATGGTATCCGAAGGTCGATCTTCAATTAAATCGTTTACTTCTGACAGACGTCTACTTGGCGAAACATATTTTTTATCACTTATGCCTGAAACTGATGCTGAACTAATTTTAAGCAATGGCCCACATGATAGTAAAGTTGAGTGGCTGAAGATCGTCGTATACAACTTCAATTTTAAAAAAGTGCTTTCACAACCAATCGTCTATTTCGACTGAATATTTATGATTATGCTACGCAATATAATGTAGAAACTAATATGTTTTATGGTCAAACAGCGCGAAAAGTTGATTTGGGTCTTGGTGCAATGAATTTATCAGCTATAAACAATTTAAATGTTAATTTCTCATCGATTTTTTCACTTGTTGGTGAACCACGCGATCGAGTTCACTCATTAGGTATTTCATTGGAAATCGTTCTTTCAAATACCGCTTCACCAGCGTTGGCATGGAAAGGTGCTAAACTATTTCTTGTACGGCCATTGATTGCATCTTACTCATTATTTTCAACTTATTGTTCGAGTTGGTTTTCTAAACAAACTAGCATATTGTTGTTTTGATAATGGTGGTGTACAAATTACTGATTGGAGACGAGGATCTGGTGCATTGAAGAACACTATCCGGAAGCTTGGAAAACGTTATTGATTTATAAAAATTTATTCTCCGATATTCTGCCGTATACTTCATGTTGTGGTACTGGAGTTGAAACTCTCAGTACTTGTCAAAATTACTTTACACATCGACCTGCTGGCAGATGCCAACATATGATACCATTACCAGTAATAAGTGATAAAGGTGATCCACATTTTTCAACATTAGCTGGCAAATCTTATAGATTCAATGGACATGGCGAATATACTCTAATGAAATCAATTGATAGTCGATTAGAAGTTCAAGTACGTTTAGCTCGAGTAATCAATGTGTCAGCATCACCTGATTCGGTATCATCAATAGACAATGCAACCGCTATTGTAGCCTTTGTTATTCACTATAAAGATCAATTACGAGTTCAATTAGAATTATTTCCAAGTTTGAAAATGATGAAGATTCGAATCGATAATCGATTTAGTCGAATTTACACTATTCACAAAAGAAAATGATTTCTATCGTCATCGTTAGTCTATTCTGACGAGCATCAATTAACTATTCGGCAAAGAGACGCAAGAAGCATAAGCATTTCGTATGGTTCAAGTGGAATTCAATTTATTGTTTATCTCCGACCAAATTTTGACTTCGTTGATTTATATTCTATTCTGCCAACTACACTTAAAAAAGAAACAAACTTTCAAGGTCTACTTGGTGACTTTAATGGTCTAGTTTATCCAGACGGTACAATTGTATCGGCGAAATCGGATGACGATAAAGAATTATTCTATTATGATGAGTCATGGCGTACAACAGGTGCATCCTCAATTTTCTATCATCGTTTACAAGATAGTCATGCTCGATATCAAGATTTCAATTATCGTCCTATTTTTGTGTACTCAAAAAGTGAGTACACTCTAGATTCGGTCAGTGTATCCGACTGTTAACACGATAACTCTTGAAAGCCTCATCCAATTGTCTTGAAATTTTGTACACAGAATGATCTCATCAATATTTCAGTGGAGTTCGAAGATGAGACGGATCCGTCCAAAAATGGCTGAGTTATCGAAAAAATTGTCATTATTGACCAGACCATCCCTGAGGGGGAGGGGGTACAGGGATTTTTTTTCTCAGAATTATTCAAAACATATATAAATCGACTCAGTTTTTGCAGTACAGCTAACAATCGGATGCGAATCCGATGTTTCCTCATCTATTTATGAAAGATATTTTCAATAAATATGCTAATACAAGCAGTGTTTTATCTAGGTTTCATTTTTCGGGTGGGTGGTTGAAATTTTTGGACGGGCTGCTGGCTAGAAAATTTGTTTTCATATAGTAATGGGTGGCCCATAAAGAATGGCGGTCTCATTATTTATTCAATATCTTTTTTGTTCTTCATTGATTTGAGCTAAACATTTTCCCAAAAGATTGAGCACTCAATTCTCTACAAACTCATGTGTAAAAGATTTTTTAAACTACAAAATGGCTAAATACTAAAACGAAGAAAAAAGGTCGAAAAATCTTCAACTTTCAAGCACTAAATCTGTTATTTTTTGAAAATTTACTTTCCCCGTGAGGATCTATAAAAAAAACTCAGTCTATCATGTTAAAGAGCACCAGATTCTGGGCAAGATTCATGTCTTCGAATTTTTTTTTCATTACAAAATGAGTCAAAAATTCTGCATCAATTTTTCGCTTTTTCTAGAAAACACAACTGTCATGTCATGTTTTTTATGCTTGCACTAAAACGCATGCCATCCACTTAAAAAGTGTTATTTTTAGACGTTTTGTTTTCTTTGAAAGCCAACATACTCGACTACACCCCTGTACACTTGTTCGAATGATGCAAAGTTTCGTTTGCAGTAGACTTTCTTGTAAACCGAAATTAAGGCGTTATGGACGAGTTTTCAGAAAATATCGATTTAATAGGCGAAGACCACTTTTAAAGAAATGTTTTTCAAA